ATATTTTGAGCCCTAGGGTATATGGTTTGGTGATTGTGTTTATATTAATAGGCCAAAATATTTGTGTAAGTACAAATAGTTATTATATGCATGATTTGAGAATTGAAATATTGTTATGATTTCCTCTTGTGTTTTGATGTCAAGGATGAGTGGTTGATATTAATTATATATGAATGAAAAAGGAAGTTCATGCATGTCATAAGCTATTTGATTAACAAATGATATATAGACTATGATGACTAGTTGATAATCATGGCGATAAATGTGATTAAGACCTTAGCTACTAGCTGCTAATTATGGAAGGGTTTGAGTGGCCAAGTATTATGTTAGTAAATATATATATATATATATATATTATGTAGAGTAAGGCACAGAGAGAAAATAAAGGGGGAAGTTTTTCTCCCATGTTGAGATGTGTTTCCTTAATCATGTTTCCGCATATGTTTAATTGAATGATATGAGTTTTTAAAATATTTTAAAGACTTGAATCCCTTAGTTTTATATAGTTTGATAAAAATACATGTTAAGAATTTGTTTAGGTTAATTCCTTATAGGATAATTATTTTGTGTTAGTCCTTGATTAATCATGATTAGTGTAATAATCTAAGTCCTAATTTAGGACACCCATCATGGTACTAAATTTGGCCTCAACTTTTCTTAAGGTGATAGAGGTAAGAGGTTTGAGTGTGGGAAGATTTCAAAAAATCTCTTCAGTGGGGTAAGGAATAATCCAAGTACCATCTTAGAAAAAGCTAGCTTTCGCTACAGTAATGTGGGTTAGCTCAGTTCAAAAGACCCCCGGTAGGGTAGGGTGAAGACTGTTACATATTCAATGGTACCAAACTTGGCCTCAACTTCTTTAAGGTGGCAGATATTAGAGGTTTGAGTTTGGAAAGGTTATAAAGGACCTCTTTGGTGGTATGAAAAATAACCCAAGTACCACCTTAAGAAAAGCTGGCTTTCGCTATAGTGATGTGGGTTGGCTCAGTCTAAAAGACCCCCAATAGGATGAGGTAAGGACTATTATAGTCATGAAGGAATTGGCAAGTGAAAAAAGAACGAAAACTAGGAAGCAAACCTAGTTGTCACTTTTTAAAATCACATGTGTTGTTATAGTTTTTTTTTTTTGTATACATGATCAAATGTACATAATCCCACAAATATCTAATTAGTAACTGTGATTTCTTTATTGTTTATAATGTAGTGTGCCCAACTTTCCATGTTAACTTTTAAGCCTAACAATCAAAGTTAATAATTAGAGGACATGTTATCGTATTTCTTGTTCAACCTTTCATGAAAACTCTAAAAAATAAAATGAAATTAACAATCAAAGTGTATGAGCATGTCACATTGCTAACCCTTTCATTATACGAATGGAGGGAAGGGGCAGGTGAGGTAACCCCCCCAATATGGGGGGGAGTTTTTAGAGGGGAAGGGTGTCTCCTCCGCTCTAACTATACAAGCCTTTAAGGCATACCATGTAAAATTAACTTTCAAGAGATAATTGAATGTGCATGTGTGAATCTTTCATGGTAGCTGTAAATAACATCATGTAAAATAAACAAACAAAGGGCAGATAAATGTCAGTGTCCCTAGATTTCATGATAGCTATAAAGAATATCATGAAAAACTAACAACACAATGATATGTTAATGTAACTAGGTCTAATCTTTCATAAAAAATCTAAAGAATAACACGAAAGTTAAATAAAAGGATATGTGTATGTCACATTACCAACCCTTTAATGAAAGCATTAAGGCATACCATTTAAAATTAACTATCAAGAGATATGTGAATGTACCTATGCGAATATCTGATGGTATTTGTAAATGATTTCATGTAAAATAAACAAAGGGCATGTAAATGTCAGTGCCTTTAGATTTCATGATAATGACATGATAACGATCAAGTATACCATGATAACGTGCATTGATTACATGAAACTCATATAACACAAGGTATGCTTAATAATCACCAAGTTCACATCCTTAGCCTAAAACCTTGTATGCCAAGCCTATCACCTTTCACTTCGCACTTCAAGCCTATAACCTTGCACACGAAGTCTATAACTTTGCACTCCAAGCCTATCTCCTTACACCTCTAGCTTATAACTTTGCACCTCGAGCCTATACCCTTATACCAAAAGCCTATCAATGTCCATCTCGCATCTAAAGCTTATAACCCTGCATGCAAATCCTATAACATTTTTACCTCAAGCCTGTGACATTGCACCTAAAGTTTATCAACTTGCACGTTTTACCTCAAGCCTACAATCTTGCACCTTGAGCCTAAAACATTACACCTAAAGACTATAACCTTATACGCTAAGCCTATCACCTTGTACCTTGTACCCCAAGCCTATCATCTTGCATCTTGCACCTAAAGCTTATAATCTTGTGCTTTGACGGATTCCAAGCTTATTACTTTGTAAATTGAGCCTATAAGTTGGCACCAAAAGCCTATTACTTTGCACTTAGTATCCCAAGCTTGTAACCTTATACTCAAAGCTGATTACCTTGCACCTTAACCCTTTATAAGCCTTATAAAATGTCATGTAATTTACATGCTTCTATTGTCACTTTCAATATAATAGGGTTGTATTTTTATGAAATTTGCACCTTTATGGTGTGAAGAAACCCATTATTCATGTTTTTACTTTTCATTACACTGTGACTTTCAAAATAATAGATAGTGTTTTCATGGATATAAATGTTTTTTTATGCAAAAGTCATCTTTTTGGTTGAATACGTGAAAGTCACATTATCTTTTTGCTCTTTTCCAAGAAATTGTCCCATTTTTTATCCTAAAAACCTATTATATACCATGAAAATTATGAACAAAAAGGGATTAGATGCCCTTCATTTTTCATGAAACACGGTGCATATCCTAAAAATGATAACTTTTAAGATATCAGTTCCTCAAAACATGTATATTAAGAAGTATAGAAGATACCATACTATTCATTACACAGACATATAACAAACATACTACAAAACCTATTCATTCATGTCATCCTTTGCATCGAAATCACCACTACTTTCATTGGCAACCCTTGATCCTTAACATCCTTTAATCAAATAGCTTGGATGGCTTTTAAAATTTGAGCATCAATATCATCATTACCTTGATCAAATTACTGGCAGCCATGTTACTTGCCCTAAGTATGTCCTCCTTCTGAGGGTTATTCATTCCTTTGCCATGACCTTTAATTGCCTTGGCCTCCTCACCACTACTTGTCTCCTTCACATTGTGGGTTTTAGTTGCATATGCAAAATTGTCACTATTCCTACCCATCCATTATTAACACCAACATTCTCTCTAACTTTAGACACAACTTTATCTATAGTATCAACCTGATCTTGATCTTCAATCCTAACATTATCCCCAGCACCCGCATTGTCTCTAACTTCAGCCTTAACATTATACACAATCCTTTCCTCAACCTCACCATTATGTTTAGTAGTTGTAATAGCTTGTGGACCTTTAGTGGCATCTTTACTAGGGAGATGAAGGTTGTCATGCTTTATTATGGCATCAAACCTTTCTCCCTAATATCAGCAGCATCTCATATAAGGTCTCAATAGAAGCCATAAGCCTCTTTCTCTTAATGCTAAATAGTTCATCAACCCATGTATTTATTTCCTTGTCTAGCTTATAGTGCAAAATTGTGAGCTATACTATATTTGTAGAGTACCTCTTTGCATTCAACAACATCTTTGAACCTCTAAGTTGGACTAGTTATCAAGTCCTTCCATTTCTTGGCGCCAAGCTAAGGGATGGATAGGGGTACATTGAGGTAAGAATAGGAACTCTTAGCAGTGTCATGGTTGATGAAGATGCAACAATTGATAGTCCATGAAATCTTTGCAAGGATTCAAACCTGCACATTATATAGCTATCCTTCCATAAGGAAATTGAACTTTCAACCATTATTCCCACTCACCCTTCTAAACTTCCCATTGATTGTGATAGTGCGTGTGATCTTCCCAAGCAGGATTATAACTTGCACCAAAATCAATTGTCATGTAAGTATCATTTCTTCCAAAACTAAAAAACATCTAAAAATTATTGTGGAAGAAGTGGTATGTTTCATTCTTTTGCACACTCATCATTGTACTGTACAAGAATATGAAAAAATACAGGCAGAAGCTTCACACATGAGGGAAATACATTGAAAGCAAGAGAGTAAGGAACTAATGATAGTATTGAGCCAATTGATTCTTCAAGTCATTTGCCCTTCAAGTTTGGGTGCTAGTGGCATCTCTATGGTTTGGCAGTGAAAGTCCCACTAGAAAATTTCATCTAAACAACATCAGACCATGCCAAAATAACTCTTCATCTCTTACTTATATAGTTTCACAAGTACGTATGCCTAATAGTTTTAAGTTCTCAAACTTCCACCTTTGTCCTATTTACAAATCCAGAGAAAATACTTCCACAATTCTCGAGCTAAACGGATATTGAAGGACGCGCCAAGGTCAAGCAAAAACACATATGTATTGACCAAAAACACTCCATTACTTTAACAAACGAACAGAGCATGAAGATAAGTCCAAGAGGTTAAACCACGCAACTTAAATCACCCACCAAACATTCTTTAGTAACCAACAGATAATCAAGACACTTATCGGCAATAGTTTAGTCACCGTGCTTGGTCAACGACAATTGTTAGAGAGGTCATTCACGTGAACAATGTTGCACCTCGAACGTCCGATCGCCTCTTCTATGCATTTATTACCTCTTTTTCCCAAAAGAGAGGCCAATTCGGTCAATTCATGAGAGGCTTTTATGAATATTACAATGAATTTGGTCCTTAAATTTTACTTGGTGGCTTAGTACAATTTTCCTCTCAAGGAGATCTTTTCTAGCAATTTTTCCTAATTTAATCCATTTTTATTTAGTAATTATTAGTATTAATATTAATTCAAAAATGCATGCAAAGAAATTAATAAAGCGCGCCAACAAAAGACTCACGAGTAAAGACTGTAGTATGAATATGATCCATCGCTTCCTTTCTCTCTTGAAATTTCAGAAATACACAGACCACTCAGAGATTAGCTCAAACCATTTGCTTCTCTTCCATTGTTCAAGAGCTCTGCGAGGTTTCGCTATCTGATCGGACGTTTGATGCTTATTTTTACGATCTCTTCAATAGGCTGATTATGGTTCTCGACAATGAGGATCAGAGAGAGAGAGTCAAGGAGGTGTATTTTGGGAATATGGGCCCTCATATTACTGAGTGGGATCTTCGTAATAAATTACGTCAGTATCGATCTCTTCGGAGGTAATCCAGTTAGATTTTACTTTTCCTTGCTCATTCTTGCCAAAGAAACTGAGTTTCTTGGATAAATTTTGCATGCTTCTGTGATATTTGCGAATTTGTGAAGGCGAGATTTAATAGTTTTCTTTTAATTCGATAATACTGCTATAACAGGTGTTAGAATTTGGGTCTTAATTAACGACTGATGTTTAAAGTTTTCTCACATTCTGTTCGTGGTAATCATGTTTCAAGAATTCGTTATTGTTATTCATCTAATGAAGGACTAAGTTTTGCTAATTCTTGAATCTCACCAATACCTTCAAAGCAGTATCTGGCTTTCTAAATACCCATGGGGATTTGCATTTGTGAAGTTTGACGATCTGAGGGATGCACTTGGTGCAGCTCGAGAATTGAATGGTCAGTATATCCCTGTATATACGTTATAGCTGCTAGCATGTTTCATGTGTCAGTAAATTCTTACTGTTCCCTCTTTACTCTGTCCCCTCGTTTAGAATTTGTCTTAAGACTGTTTGATACGGATGCTGCAATGTCATACAGATAGAAATGGTTGGATTGTAAGTCTTACTTTGGGCTTCAGTAAATGTTTAAACTGCGGTATAAATGGTCACGAACCTGGAGAATGTCCAGAAGTCCGAGGAAGACGATGGCATCGGAGCCCCATTAATGATAGAAGAAGATCAAACTACAGGGATGACCGCAGGTGTGTTTGTTCTCTTTGTTGTATGCTACGTGATAAGCAAGTAAAATGGTTAAGCATTTCAAACAAGATTTCAAGAATCTCAAGCCTTCTGATAATGATTAAACCCCTAGTAGAGTAAATAAAATAATTAGGATGTTATGTTCATTAATTGCAGAGCATGAGTTTGCTTCTATTTATGCTTTTTTGACAAGGGGCTGATATAATGTCTATGAACTGTTTGCTGCAAGATCCATGACCACCAATGCTAGCTTCCCTTGTTAAAGAAATGAATGATTTGGAATTTATCTAGATGGTTTGTCTTAAAATTTAATGATGTTCTTCTTCAAATCACCAGAAGGCTGATGACATCTAATTTTTTTGGTTGGGGTAATCAATGGAGTACGATCAGATTGTAATTTGTTGTCTTGCCCAATCTCTTACGTTAACCAGTTTTTAATATCAAATAAGAGCCTGATTAAGGAGTCCTCTTTCTTCTGATTTCATACAGTATTTGGTGAAATATAATTTCCTGTCAAATGTAAATATAAAATACTTCCTCTGATGAGAAAACATATAAAAACTGAAAGTAAATACTCCCTCTATTTAAAAATATAAGGTATTTTTAGTTAAATCTCATCCCTTAATAAAGTAATTATATACTTTTCAACTAACCTTATATTTTTATATTTATCCCTATTAAACACTTTGCAATAAATATGAAATCATTATCAATAGGGGTACTTTAAAAAAAAAAGACAATGATAAACCTCAAAAAATTAAAAATGTCTTGTATTTTTAAACATCTAATTCCTTAAAAAATATTTTATTTTGCACAGAGGGAGTACCAATGATTCTTTGGTTAATCTGTAATTTGTTTTCTTGCTCATTCAATGACGGCTTCATTGAAAATGTGGTATTATAATTTGGTAAGATTCATGCATTTAGCCTTATAAATTTGATATATTTATATCCAATCAAATCATGATAACAGTAAAACTTAATAAGTTAATTAAATTAATAACAAAAATTTATTATAAAATAAATATAATTTGTAAAAAATCAACATGTTTTGATTTAATTAAAAATAATCACATTAAATATACAAATATAAGTATATCAGTTTTCACCTTATAATTTATAACTGCATTCTCTTGTGTTAACCCAGCTTTTAGTATCAACAAGAGCCTGATTAAGCGTCTCTTTTCTCATGATTTCATGTCCCCTCTACTCGGTGAAATCTAGTTTCCTGGCAAATGAATCTGATATGAATTTATACTACAGTAGTGATTCTTTGCTCAGTTCTCATGCTCTGAATTGGAAGAGCCGGTACCTAAAATTACTGCATTGAACTTTCTTGTTTTTGCGCAGTAACAGATCCCCTGTGAGAAGATATCCAATACAGCACGGAAGAAACACAACACAAAAACGCAGAGCAAGCAGCAGAGCCAGCAGGTCACCTTCAGATCACCGCCGTGCTCGGCGTGATGGTGACTGATCAGTTGGGGCCAATGGTTAGGTTTAGTTTTTTTCACCCATTTTGTTGTCATCTTGTGCAACTTGTCCGACGATGGATATGTATGACATAGGGTCTTTAAATCACGATTTATAGACGGGAGAATAATAAATAAAATTTTTTAAAATGAAAAAATGATAATTTAGTCTCATAAAATATGATAATGATAAAGAATTCCTAATAAATTTCTTTAAAATTAAATTTTTATATAAAATTATTTTAGTACCCCTCAACAACTAATCTCATAAGTAAACCCACAAATTTCAAGAAATATTTACCATATTTTTTCTCAAATTATCCATCATAAAATCAATGTTTATTTTCACAAGACAAATTTATTTCATTAATTATGGAGATAATTTAATTTAAATTTTCTAATTTCAAATATAATTATTATACTTAACCAACTTTGTTAAGTTGTGTGAATTAATTATTTTCTTTAATATTTGCAAATTGAGGGAGTATTATTTTTTTGGTAGTAAAAACGAACTATTAATTTTGATTTGAGATAGGTATTAAATATTTCGATAAATAACATTTTGTACTATTATCAATATTATTGAATTAAAATTATTAAAGTTTGTTTAATTGAGACATTTTCTTTTTCCATTTAATCAAAACTCAAGACTTTCTCGTTCAACCATTATACTTTGTTTATGCACCAGATCATATGTTCTCATTACTTTAAAGAAAGTGAAAAGATGGGGGAAGTAATTTTTTTTGTTGGTATATTTTTGATATCCCCCTCTCGTTATAATATAAATTATTGTTAATTAATACATAATTTTTGAAAAAAATTGATTAAAATCTTGATTTTGTAAAAAAATTTTACATATCTTTAAGTGTAATAAATATAACATTTAACTTATTTAATAAAATAAAAGTGTAATTAAAAAAAATATATAACACCTATCCGATACTATATATTTTGAATTAAGAAAATTTTTTTAAAATAATTTATATTATGATTCAAAAGTAATACAGTAATAATTTAGTAAAGTAGCTTTATTGAGAAGAGGGATTTTTGTATTCATGAAAATGAATTTTTCTTATTTTCATTTCTTTTTCCATTCACATTTTACACCAAGCCTATCGATGAAAGCCTAAAAAAATCTATTATAACAAAATTTTTGTAGGAAGAAAATGAGAAAAAATTAGGAAAAATAATAAATAAGTTTTAAAAAGATTAATTAATTTAAATTAAGTTTAAAAGTATCAAATTTTAAAAATTTATAAGTTTGACTCTTCATTTTACAATTTCATTATAATGAATTTGTATCTTATTTTTTAAATTTTAATTCAAAATATAAATAAATTTGTTTTCTCTATTAAAATTTAGAGTGATGTATAAATATAGGCAAAATTTATATACTTAATTTTATATTTAATATATTTCTATCCAATCAAACTAAAACAAGTAGATTTTGATATAATGATAATATTAATAATAAAAATTTATTATAAAAAAATAATTTATGAATGATAGACATATTTTAATTTAATTAAAAATAAATACCTTAATTATATAGGGTTAAAAATATAAATTTTCTCTAATAAATCTATATGGCTTATTTTGAGCTGAGCTCTATGAATTATTTATTTGTGTGTTTTTTTGGATTTAATTTATTTGAAACACATATCTAATTAATATATTTAATTGAACTATTAAGAACTTTATCACACCCCAATATTGAGAATATGATTGCCACAAAATATGAGATAGACTCACATTCTATAAGTCTTAATTAACTAAAAAATTAATTTAAAATAACGGTAGAATTTACATTTAAATTTAAAATTCAAAAAGTTTTAACCATTTTACAAAAATTTTGACAAAATTTTCCTTATAATTAGATCCACCGAATATTTCTACAATGATAAAACTTGTCAACCAAACTAAAAAAGAGTTTCGCTCCATACCAGGATATTTCCTAATAAAAAAATAAAACTAAAATCTAATTACAGTATACATGGAGTGCTAACTTAACATCTCATAATAAAAAAAAATTATTTACATCAAAAGTAACTAATACATACTTCCACAGTTTCAAAAACCAATTGTGCCACTTAGTGATCAAAAGGAGGTGCAGGATCAATTTCAATATTTGAGACCAAAAATTTTTTTTTGGTGAGTAGTGTCCCAATTTATAGTTAAAGGAAACAATGAAAAGCAATCAATGAGCTAATTATAAATTTACTAAAATAATCAATTACAAATAATATAAACCAAAAAAATATAAATACAAATGAAATTATTAAAATTTTAAATTCTAAATTATTTAATTTCTACACATGCTTTAACATCTCGGTGTGTGTGTGTGTGTATTACTCAATATAAAATCCACATATAGTAAAAAGAAATAGCAGTTTGCTTTCTGAACTTTAAATTTTAAAATCCCTTAGTTAGTGAGACTTAATCAAAACGATTAATAAGTGTGGATGTATAGTCCACAAGGGTAAGTACAGACGTAAGCATAAAGCTCACAAATAATAGATGTGGATTATATCCACAAAACTATATCCTCCATTTCATGTGTGTTAGCTAGCACACAGGGCTAGCATCTCCAATGCACCTTATTAGCTAGATGTATCATGACATGGCAAGGGTTAATGGAACTGTCGTTAGCATTCAGCGTTCTAAATTTAGTCCCATTAATTAAATCAAGCGTGCATGGAGTTGAAATATTCATTTAAAACCATTTCTTTCAAAATATAATACTCAATTATCAAATTTTTCTTTCAATTTTTTTTCCTGCAAGAGTCACCATGTTAACTACTATCATATAAATTATAAAATTCAAACCAAAGAAATGCTTAGAATAAATATTTGATTAATAATGTACGGATTCAAATATTTTTTAACAATAGCATAATTCTCAATAAAAATAAAATAGATTCAGTAATGAACTAATTAATATAAAAGTGAAGTAAGCAAAAAGAATAGTATATATAATAAAAATAGGATTAACCAAAGTATTTACACAATTTATAAAGGAATAATATAAAAATTTAATTAAAAAATTGTATAAATACTTTGCGAGAAATTATTTGAAACGGTATCCACTTAGCGGAGATTTTTTTTTCAATAACTTTAAAGCTTGCTTCACTTTAATTTCTCACTTAATTTCAAGGATGCCCTTATTTTTCTTAATAAATCAATTACAATCCAAAAATTACTTATTCATTCTTTTCTTAATATAAATAAGTAAGTTTTTTAATATCCTAATCATCAAAAATTAACAAAGTTCTTTTTACTCTAACGAGTCTTCAAACAATTATTGACATTCAAATTAATTTCAAATAATATCACAACTATACATGTTCAACCAACAACTTTCTTGTCACATTATTAACTTAACAATAACCCTACAAGAATAATAGAAGACCTTTTTTAATTGTTTCAACAAACGCTTCATGAACATTCCAAGTGAAGTTAAGAAACAAGTACTTTGATATAAAATAGATAATCTTACTTTTAAGCTTAAATGCAATTTCTTAAAGTTTTCTCAACATTAACAAAATCTCTTATCCCAAGATATAATTTTCTCCTTCCCATTAATAAATTTCAAATTAAATTATATTAATCGTTTAACACATCACTCTTCTCATAAACATTTAAACAAATACCTTGACAATATTTTTATTTGTTCACTACAAAACTAATTCACATATATCCAGTCCAACTTCTCATCATCAGCGAATTCCTAAGTCAAACTTCCAAACACTACTCAAGCATAATTAAGAACATAAAATATCTCAAATTAAATTCCAATCAAACATTTGAATCACATTAGAGAGCAACTAAAATGAGCATCTTCAGGTAAAAATTCAAATATATAATTATAGCCTCATTCAACAAGCTTCTTCTTTCACTAACAGTCAGCTGAAACAATTAAAACAAAATTTCAACTCCCTCTTTTAACAGCCACAGCAGCTCAAAGGAGAAAAATAATGCATCCATTGGTCAAGTGAGGAAAAGAATAAGCTTACCACATACACCCATGCAACTTTCAACAGCTGGGAAGGAAAAGAAATTGAAGCTCACACACTCAGACCATACACGCTGACGATGAAGCAAGAGAAGATCAGAAATGAAGCAGAGGTGAGCAAGAACAAAAAATTCAATAACTCCACTTCACCAAGGTAGATTGACGCTGGCGGGAGAAGGGTGGCGGACAACCCACAACAACGAAAAGGGTAGTCAATAGTGAGGAATACAAACGTAGACCGATAGTGAAGAATCAAAGGAGCTTGTGTTGATGAAGAGAAGGAAGAAAATAAACCGAAATAAATGCTCTGTTTCACACAACAGATATAAAATTTCTGAACAAAAAAATACAAAAAACTACAAGAAATGACACAAGAAACAATTACAAGCGAAGACACAAAGCTTTTCTATAATTTAAAATAAAATAAGATTAAACTTTTGCTCAGTGAAATTCTAACACTGGACTTTCAAGAAAGTTATTAGTATAAGTTTCTCTAAACTATCATCTTCCACTTATTATAAAACTAATTTAAATAAAATATCAATTGAGAAAAAAATTAATTTAATTTTAATTTAAAATTTAGGATCATTACAAACTTAATAGAGAAAATTAATTCAATGGCTCCCAAAAAGTACAACTCCCATAAATAGATTTGTTTTTTCTTTTTTATCTTTAGAATAAATTTACTATTAAAATAGAATATATCTAATTTAACTAATCTTTAATTAATTAAATTTTTTTATTTTTATCATCAAAAATCGTATTGTGTGTGCTCCCTCTTTGATTTATCATCTTTAATTTTTTTTCATTAAATTTTTTGATTTGATTTTTTTGAATTATCAAATCCATCTCTTATGAAGTGCTTTTCTTTATTAGAATTTTTTTATCTAATTTGTCTGGGCCACCATTTTTATCACAAATTTTTTCCTCTCTCCTCTATTTTTCTCAAATATTATGAAGAGAGCATTAAACATTGAAGAGAAAACTCCATTATTGATTTGCAATATTACATAATTGATAAATGACTATATATCAATAATAAATAAATTAGTAAGCTTTTACTGATATGGCTTTTATACTAGTGATATATAATAGTATATCACCGATA